CTTCCCATCCTGTCATCACTCCTTAAAGTGCAGAGTTTTCACAGATTGGAAAGGAATTGTCTGGAAGAAAGGCTTGTCCCTGCATGTGTTGGGCATGGGAGGGAGTAGACTTAGTATATAAAAGTCTAGGTGAAGATGGTGAGTGGGGACTGGAGGGACACACGAGACAATCCCATTTGCTAGGCTTTCCATTGTGCTTCATGTACAATCTGACCTTTCTACCGTAGCTCGTTCCTAGAGCTGCCCAGCTCCTTCCTGCTCAGGCCCTCACAAATGCTCTTTCTAGAGACAGAAACTTCCCATGATTTCCATAGCACCTGTGATATTGGTTAACATCTATCAAGTGCTTATGATGCATCAGACACTGTGCCACTGTGCTAAGTACTGTACGTGACTGATTATTTCATCCAGTTCTCACAGCTGTGAAGTAGGAATTGTTATCCCCAGTTTATAGATGATGAAGCAAATGCACAGAAAGGTTAAGAAATCTGTCAAGATTTCATAGCTAATGAGCAGCTGAATTAGGATTTGATTCTAGGTCTGTTTGACTTCAGAATGTATGCTCTGTTTTATCATTTATTTAAATACCAACTTTTTATCTTTTTTCTCCCATTAGGTCTAAGCTCCATGAGGGCAGGACCTATGTATGTTTTATTCAGCATCCTTCCCCTGGGACCTAGAATGGTCCTGGCATATAGTAAATATGTATTAAAATAATGAGTAAAAGTGAAATGAAGTATAGTTCTAGCCTCAGGTGTTTCACTGTGGATGTGCTGATATTTCATTATGGCTCCTCTTCTCAGGGTACTCCATGATCCTCAGTTCCTGGTGGGCCGCACTACCATCTAGTTTGAGCAGTAATTTGGAAGACAGATTTAGGGAGGAGTCCTCTCCTTGGAGATCATATATCCAACCACCATCTTGACATGACCACTTGAATACCTAGTAGATTTCTCAAATTCATTATCTTAACTGATCTTTCCTCATTCTTCTCTACCTTAGTCAATGGCTATGTCACCCACCCAGTTGCCAAACTGCAAAACCCGAGAGAGACATTCTTGATGCTTTCTGGATGTTATTCCTCACATTCAATCCAATTGCAAGCCCTGTTGTCCGACCTCCAAAAGGTATCTATAGATTGTCTATCTCTTCCACCACTATTCTAACTGAAGGAACAATTGCAGTAACCTCCTTACCTAAAGGATCCCTGGTTTTGACTATAGTTTCTGGATTTTTGTGGATTCTCATTGGCTCATGAATTCCTATGAGAGGAAAAGGATATATCTTTTTTAAAATTAATTAATTTTTAAATTTTATTATGTTAATCACCATACATTACATCATTAGTTTTTTTTTTTTTTTAGATTTTATTTATTTATTTAACAGAAAGAGACAGCGAGAGAGGGAACACAAGCAGGGGGAGTGGGAGAGGGAGAAGCAGGCTCCCCGCCAAACAGGGAGCCTGTTGCGGGGCTCAATCCCAGGATCCTGGGATCCTGACCTGAGCCGAAGGCAGACGCTTAATGACTGAGCCACCCAAGTGCCCCTACATCATTAGTTTTTGATGTAGTGTTCCATGATTCATTGTTTGCGTATAACACCCAGTGCTCCATTCAGTACATGCCCTCTTTAATACCCATCACCAGGCTAAGCCATCCCCCTCCCCCCTCCTCTCTAGAGCCCTCAGTTTGTTTCTCAGAGTCCATAGTCTCTCATGGTTATGGACTCTGAGAAACAAACTGAAAAGGATATATCTTGTTAGGTAAGCACCACCAGTTAGGGCAGCATGCAGCGTGGGTGATTGGGTTGGTTCGTTTGAGCATAATATTTGTGCTCAAATATCAGTGTAGGCTGAAGTAGTAGGCAGGACTTGGTGATCAGAGCATGTCTCTGCTTGGCAAAGAGAGATCACAGCCTAAGATCCAACTCTGGAATTGCTGTAGTTGCTGCTTCTCTCTCTTTCCCACCATACCTGTGCATTTTCTCTTGGTTAGAGTCAGCTCAGAGACCCAGAGGACCCCATGCCAAAAGCATAATCCCTCCTGCTTCCTTCCCCTCCTTCCCATCCTTATCTCAGCCCACTTGCATCTTTCCCAAGGCAACAGGTAGATGAGACCAGGACTCCTAGCCTCCAGAAGGGGATCCTAACAGAGTTGAGAGGCACCTGGTAATATCCTCATTAGCTTTTCTCAAATGCCCACATATTATGAAGCCAGATGATAGCTAGAAAAATCTCCTAGAACACCTTGGAAACTAAGAGTCTTGAGGTAGATATGTGGGTTAGGTGAGGAGTCTGAGCTGACCTGTTTGCTCTCCTTATTTCCTAGCATGTCTCAAGCCTGAGACTGGAGATAACTCTGGCCTCAGAGGGAATAAAGAACTCTCTGGAAGAGAGTTCACTGGTATACCCATCCCTCAACAAACACCCCACCCCCAACATGTGCAAACCCCCCCCCCCACACACACCTACAAACTCCCCCCCTTACCTCCAGCACACTCATAACACCCAGACAGTTCCAGAATCTTGGCAAAACCTGAACAATAAGGGAGTAAGAAGTAGTGTCTTTGATACAGGGTAGAGAGTACTGAGACCAAAGACCACAGATGATGGCCAAGGGAAGAAGAGTTCATATGCAGATAAGATAAGATTTAGGGATGCTTGTGGGAGAATAAGAGTGAAGCAAACCTTGCACATTTAGTGATTTTTAAAAAATGATTGTACAGGGGATGCCTGGGTAGCTCAGTTGGTCCTCAGGGTCCTGGGATCGAGTCCCTCATCAGGCCCCTTGCTCAGTGGGAAACCTGCTTCTCCCTCTGCCTGCCGCTCCCCCTGCTTGTGCTCTCTCTCTCTGACAAATAAATAAAAATTTTTTTTTTTTAAATGGTTGTATAGGAAGAGATGACTATTTCTTTCACACTGGGGGTGCAAGTTTCTTGAAAGCAAGGGCCATGTTTTGGTCATTTTGTATCCTCCCCCAGTGCCTTATATAAGCTTATCGAATAGTTGTTGCATGTATACAGAGCCTTATAATAGACTCTGTGTGAAACATTCTAAGCACCTCTTCATGGTAGCCTACCATCTGAGCTTCCAGGAGGATGGAAAATAATTTCTGCAGAGTGCCTCCAAGATTATTCAGAACTGGCATAGAGAGGATTATAAGAGTGAGAAATTTTGTAGTCAGGGGGCCTCTTTGAAGAAGGTGTTTATAACACATTTTGCTGACTGCGTCTATAAATCCCAAGAGCGCTGATAATTTTACATCAAAAATAAAGTGAAAACGAAGCATTTGGGCTGTGAAAACATCCTTGCATTTCTACTAGTTGCTTCTGATTGTAATTTGGCTGTGAATAAATTTTTACTGTTTGCATTATGGTATGGAGAGAAACACATCCTGATGCTTTAGAGCAGAACAGTGTCTGAAAACCGCTCCAAGTTCGAGGGTGAGGAGAATTCTCTGAAACAAGCTTGGCCAGCACTCTTGAGAACACAGGGAGGAAACTTTTTATTCCCTGAGAACCACTGCCCTCAGCCCTCTTTTGGCCTTTGCAGTGCAAATACTGGATTTGTGGAAGCATTTGGAACATCATTAATTAGAAACTGGTGCCCCTTAGCATGAAGAGACAATGTTCAGATTCAAGGATCTGAAGTTTGGGTTGAGGCCTGCTCTCAAACATTGTGTTTTTTAATGGTTCCTTATGAATAATTTAGAAAAACCACTTTGGAATAATAAGACCAATAAGAGCAGGGAATTGACATCATAATAGCTTACTAGGTGCCAAGAACTATTTTATGGGCATTAAATCATTTAATTCTCACAGCATCACTGTGTTTAGAGACGAGGAAGTCTAGAAAAAGAAAAGTGAAATAAGCCGACCAAGGCCACGTGGTAGAGCCAGGGCTTAGTGTCCCACATTAGCCTGACGCCAAAGCTGAGCTCCTACGGAGTGATACCACTTCCCGTTAGTGTCAGACTATCTGTAAAGGGGTGGGGGTTACCTAGGACAACAGGCTTTATATTTTGTGCTGATTCCGGTTCCTAGGTCCCTGAAAAGTTAATCCAGTCAGAAAAATAAAAATTAAGAAAAGGCTGAAACTGAAGCATCCACCCTGTGTCTTCTGCTAGTCCAAGGCCAGGCTGACAAAGCCAGTTTAAGGCAGTTTAAAAGTTTTCCCTTTCCATGGCCAAATCTGTTTTAGATAGAATCTTCCAGCTGGTTCTGATTTGCAGAACGGTGCTCAGTTTTCCAAACAAGCCATGCACTGGCATCTCAGAATTCCATTCCAGTTAAGGTTAGTTCACTTGTGCCACAATTCCCATATCCCCTCGCCTCGCCTTTTTTTTTTTTTTTAAATAGAAGTAGTATATAATGGTTCATTCTTATTGTTGCATGTTGTAATATATTTACATGCAATTTTCTCCTTCAGTTCATTGCTTCCTACAGAGAAGTTTGTGGGTATGATTACTGTATTATGTTTATAATTGAGAACAGCTGACTTCATGGATTTTTACATTTTACCTAGTTTTCCAGCTGGGTCTGACTCTGGCTCATCATGTGAGGCATAAGGGGAGGTGCTTTGGAGGAGAAAGTTGGGGAGGGTGTCAAATCATTGCTTCCGTAGCCAACATCAATAGTAAAGTAGCTCCGGAAAGGAAAAGGCAGGATTCTTCCAGTGCAACTCTTTCAGAGCCTAAGAAAGTTTTCCAGAGAGTAACTTTCAAACATAAAAAGGTAGAGAGAAAGTATAAGGGAATGTATGGGTAATGATGCCGAAGCCACCATCCTACTGAGTACTTATTATATGCCAGGCACTGTGCTAAAGCACGTTCTGCAAGTTATGTCATTTAATCCTCACACCAACTGCATTTTGAAACCTCATGAGACAACTGAGGCTAGGGAGAGTAAGGAAGAAATGTAAGTGAGGGAGCTGGGATTCAAATCTGAGATTTTCTGAGGTCAGAGACCAGGCTCTTAAGCTCTCATCTTACTTTCCCTCCTAGTGGACTTTCCTGCCCATATGAGGTTCTGGCTGGGGAACCATTCAAAGGCCCATTCAGAAGGACACCTCAGCCTTGCTCTACCTCAATGCTTTCCTGGATTTCCCAGGGGGAAGGTGAGTGTCACCTGTGGTGGAGACCCCTCCTTTAGTCTGATAAGAGCTCTTATTCTTTCCTATTGCATCACTTTTAGTATTACTCTGTACACCTGTGCACCTCTGTCAACACCCTAGGAAATTGTAAGAGGCAAGGTTTTCCCATTTATAGGGTCCTCCTACATGAGAAGTATTTATAGACATTGAAGATGTGGGCCATGGATGGCTTTCTCTGTGTTTTGTTCTATTTACCCGAGATTCTTACTTAGCACAGTGAGTCATTGGGGGTGACCTCTTGGTCCAGCTACTTGCTCATAAAGTGAATTCTCTGTGAATCATTCAGGATTACGGTAGTTACTGTGGTCTGAATATTTATGTTCCCCTTAAATTCACATGTTAGAATCCTAATGCCCAATGTGATGGTGTTAGAAGGTGAGGCTTTTGGGAGACCCCACAGAGGCTAGGGCTCCCTGGCCCTTTTTGCCATGTGAGGATATAATGAGAAGTCTTTGATAAATTTCTGCTGTTTATAAGCTACCCAATCTGTGGTATTTTGTATAGTGACCTGAATGGACTAAAACAGTAGTAGAGAGCTCTACATTGATGCCCATCTTTTTTCAGACATACTCTTTAACTGTCATTGAATAGCCAAAGGATGATGTGCCAGAATTTTATGTTGACTCAGAAGAAAAAAGGAGCAGTTTTCCTTTTCAGTCAGTCCTGTGTGAGTGGTTCCCAGGGCAGGCTGGTTTCCCAAATGCTTGGCACCTATGGCCTCCTGTTCTTATCTGTGCCTCCACTCTCTTGGTTGGGCTTGTTTTTGGCAAGCAGTGTTAGAGCATCTTATACTAGTTAGAAGGGGGGCTTAAAACTTGAGAAGAAGTATACGCAATTCATAGATTTCCTTTAGTTTTTCTTTCCTTTTGTGCGATGGCAGTGACATTGAAAAATGATGAGATTATTCTTGGCTAGAGTCTATCCTGTAATTTCATATAATTATTCCAGATTCTGTGCAACAGAACTGAATTACTGAGGTAAATGTATAGACTTAATGACTTGCAGTCTGGATTTCTTATAGAAAGAGACCTAAATGATTTTGATTTTCTTTTTTTTTTGGCTTTTTCATCATAGATTTGGCCCCAGATTTATCATATTTCTTGATTTAGTGAGATGCTTTGTGCCCCTTCAGAAAATATTTACATTTGCTTCTTTCCTTCTAGAATGGAAAAGAAAACATCTTAATTTTTTCCTTAGTGGGCAAACTATTCTTTAAAATATAAATAAATATTGAGTATGATGCCATTAGTCAATGTGGTTTTCCATTGGTGGGACTTTCGCTCTGTCTCCAGCAATGGGGTCCTCTCCCTAAAGGAGATAATTCATTTCCCGCTGGGTATAGGGTGTTTGTATTCAGGTGACTCTATTGTTTAGGCTACAGACTCAAGGTTCAAAAGGCAAGGCTTTCCCCTTAGGTGAGGGTACCTGAGGCTATAACATGTTCCTCAAAAGGAAGAATTTTATTCATCAGAAATTTTCCATGAAATTTATTAACAACAAAAAAAAAGGCAGAAGAATTCCCAGAAGGTTTCATGCTTCCTTCTCAGGGGATTGAGGGAGGATCTGGTGACATGGGGTTACATGGTGAGTTTTCCAGCCAAGTTGCCAGGGAGCAAGTCAGTCTGGGTGGTCACACCTGGCCTAGTTAGCCTGGGAAAGGGCTCAGGGGCAAATGGAGGAAGTAAACAGCAGAGCTGCAGTGAAGCAACCTCAAAACTGAGTGGACAGGAAAAAGTTGAGCAGTTATACTGGGTGGGGAATTTGGAGGATAAGAACTGGGGTCTAAAGATAATTTCTGGAAAACTTCCTGGTTGGTACTCTATATAAAATTCCTAGATGACCCATTTAAAATAATTTATAGCAAATATTTGCAATATAGTCCAAAGTTTATGAAGTCAGATTTGTGTTTCCCTTGAATGTAACTCCCAGCTGAGAATGAGTCACATGGGGGCCTTGGGGTTTATCTAGATTCAATTACATATTACAAAATATAAATATATTCTTTAGTAAAATATCAATGCAATAATGTCAACTAATCAAGCTACCATGGTGTTGAAAGATCGTTTTGAGTAGGATCCAAAGAAATATGCATAACGAGGCACAAGCAGGAATTTTTACATCAATTTCTGCCTATTACCCACTTTTCAGCATACTCAGTAGATATCTTGAAGAGAGTTTAGTGAAAGGACAGTTTACAGAGCTGTGGGCAGAGTGAAGGGGACCAGGAAGGAGTGTTGAAGCACCTAGGGACCAGCAACGTGAGAAGCTGTTTTCTGGGACTGAGGGGGCGTGGAAGAAACAGTATTTCTGGGGTCCACTGAGAGCTCACACTATGCAAGAGATTCTGCCTGACAAGGGCTGTAGTCAGAGAGGGACCTAGTCATGGCCAGGACCATGGGGCCCAGCAAAGGCCAGCATCTTTCTTTTTCCACCCTCTCATCTCCTGCTATTGTCTTCCATTAGCAGAACCCTATGGGGTATCAGAGCTGAACCTAGATAATACTATCCGTGAACATCAGTTCCCTGGAGACACTGACAGCCAGAGAAACACAGAAGAGCCTGGGCTGGTGCACAAATGGGGAAGAATCAGCACCTAGTGAATTTTGACCCTTCTCTAAAAAGCCACTCAATTTTGGAATCTTTCTTGCTGTGTGCAGACTCTGTCTAAGGCTCTAAGACCTTCACAACTCTCACCCACATCATGCTTTGCATTCCCTAGAGTTTTTCTTCTGCCAAAACTGTAGTTTCCAGACCTTTTTTCTGTCTCAACACACATGAGTGACAGAACACAGTGTCAGTACACATCAGCACATATTGGTAATTTAGGCGTGCAATTGTCTACCTCTCTCTAGAAGGGAACATGGTACCTTGAGGAAGGTCTAGAGAACACTGTGGGGTGTTAGGGTACCATTTGAAAAAGCCCTTCCAAATGCGGAGAAGCCTCTGTGCTTCTCTGAGAATCACTAATGCTTTAGCCAGGAATTTCTTAATGATATGACCTTTCTCATTCTGATAGGCAGCATAGTTTTTCTTTAAAACACTTGGTTTTATTCTGTGATCTTGGACCAGTCAACATCTCTGACCCTTAGTATGTGATTCTGTAGAGTGGGAATAACTATACTTACCTCCCAAGGTTGTTGAGAAAAATAAGCTAAAATCAACTGAAGTGTTTCATAAGTGGGAAAATGCTAGGTAATTTTTATTTATATTATCATTATTATCACGATGTCTTTTTACACAGCAGAAACACTGACTTTTGGTTCCATGTAGCTAGCCTAAAAATATATTATAATCATTTGTGGAATCACCCCAGATTGAATTCCTTGCATCAATTCTTTTCCATGCAGAATGGGGCATATTATTCTTGCTATTATTATATTTCTTGTTCTGTTTTTGAAGTCCTAAGCTTATGTAAAGATGGGTTTTGAATTAACATAACTCTTTCCCTAATTACAAACAGTTCTAACTTCCTTCGAGTTTTATAGTTTAACACTTCAGTCACAGACACTTTTCCCTTAGAAGGTGCATCACTTTTATTTAAAACTTCAAAATATATTTATGGTAATACTCAAAAAGTAAAAAAGTCATGTCACCAAGTGATGAGATTACACGTGAATTCACATTTCCAGTTTGCCTTAATATTGTTAAATGACCTTTATAAGTAACATGGCAAACATTCATTTAAATCAAACATGGTAAGCTTTTCTTTGTAATTTATTTCCTAAGCAATGTAGATACATGCATATTGTAGCAAATGTGGAAAATTAAGAAACATTGTACCTATGGACTTTTTCTTTAAAAACAAGTTTATCTTTCAAGGCTGTTTTTACTCTATTTTAATAGTTGTGAAAATTTTCATCTCCTTTTTCTCTTACCTTACTTAGAACATGAGTATTCCACATTGTACTGCAGATTTTTTATAGCCAATTTTAATGACTAACACCCCATTAAATGGATATACCTTAACATTAGACATTAAGGTGACTTGTTTCTACTGGATCTTACTATGTATTAAGAGGAGTTCAAGAAGGAATGAGGAACTTTTCTCCATCTTTTCACAACTTCCTCCTGTTTTATCTGGATCTTGTCCATGTCTCATTAAAATTTAACTAATTTGTTTTATAGCCGCTCTTGGAAGCTCTGACAGTGTGATAGACACATCCCTTTCACTTCTGATCACACAGACAAAGCTGTAGTACCACTCTGGAAAAGGCAGTGAGCCAGAGGTATGTGTGATTTTTGGAACTTCCCTAGAGGAAATCTGAACTTTCAGAAGTCTGGGCTTAGCAGCTGTTTGCTATACGCATATACAAGCACACTCACAAATGTTTAAGACTGGGATTTTAGATAGCTTGTTTTCATTAGTCAAAGAAAAATTTCTCTTTCCCAAGATGTCTAAAACACTATGAATTCCAAGAATCAAAGAAAGGTAAGAAGTTTAGAGGATATGTATATAGGATTTTTAATATAGATATATGGAATTTTTAATATGTGACATGTCTGCTATATTTTTTCTACCCTAAATACATGACAGACATTATTAATCAATCACCCTTTCCTGAGACAGCTTCAGACTCCTTCCCAAGATAGCACAACCACAGTCATGACCAACATCTCATAAATGGTTCAAGATAACAGACCTACTCACCATCAAGAGCTCATCAAACCCCCTTATTTTACAGATAAGGAAACAAAAATATTTTCGATTCTGTGCAGCAAAAAATAATGGATCTGTTTGGCTTGTGAAGCATCCATAGAGGTTTATAATTTTAAAGGATTCCCAGGTGATTTGAAAGCACATTAAAGTTGGAGAAAGACGGATCTAGAGCACTGGATCTAAGATGCCACAGGTAGGAACAGATACAGAGAGAGGCTGTGTGGCAGTCATGGGCAGAACCCCATGGGAATCAGTACCATGGAGAGGGC